GTTTTGTATGAGAATAATTTTCTTCCTCAGTATTTTAAATAGAATCATCAGAATTCAATGAGACATAGGTAAGAATTTTATTTGTGTTGTTGCGTGGTTATTTTTCTGATAACATAAATACAATCAAAATTATCAGCATAAGAAAATACATTTCATATTGTATGTTTGTAAGAAGGAGACAACACATGCGGTTGTGGCGTCCTATTAATTGTTAATAGATATTAGATTACTATTTTAGTATTCTAAAATACATTTATCCCATTCTTCTAATGACAACTTTGACTCTATAGCACTGTTTCCCTAACTGTAATCTGCAGACCCCTGGTTGTCCTTGAATGTAAATTAAATATTAAAAATACACAAAGTACCTATCTTTAAAACRAAAATGTCATATTTGTATTACATGAAAAATAAATAATGGATTATATATATATTGTCGAAATAGTTATTGCTGAAAAGTAATTTTTTTTTTAAGATTCATCCGCTATCATTTTCATTTTTCTAAGAGGTGTGACATATAAAAAGTTTGGAAAAGGCTGATCTATAGTACTAAAATTATAAAAAACATTTAATCATCTTGATAACAAATTGATTCTAATGTTTGTAAAATATGTTTTTAACACTAAAATAATTATAATATTAATATAGGTGATTAAAAAAAAAAATGCTATGTATTTCTTATATTATTTTAGATATAATCTGAAAATTATGTTTTGTAATATTTACAGAGATGCCATGAACAAAATGTTAAATGATAAAGAAATRTTGGAAAGAAAACATCAATTTAAGATTAATATTTTAATTGAAGGTAAGTTATCGTTGAAAAAATTAATATTCTACTTTTAGCAAATATTGTATATTATGTAATTATAGAATATAGATATTAAAATTTTTGTTTTAAGTTTGTAGTAGTATTAAACATGTTTAAGAAAAGTTAAGATTTCTAATATAATTTTCATTATTAAACTCAAATTTTAATTTATAAATTGTGTATGAAAAACATTTTAACGATTTTTTTGTTTATATGATCATATGAAAATTAGCTTTTAATAGCTTTTTACAAATAAACATGGATGGTATATTAAATTTTATTAAGTTTTTGAAGAAGCAGAATCCACTAGTTACAGTTATATTAATTTTCTATTGCTGTGTATAACATTGTAATTAATAATTATGTATGTAAAAAT